CAGTTTAGACAGAATATTAAAAAGCAGAGACATTACTTTGCCAGCAAAAGTCTGTCTCGTCAAAGCTGTGGTTTTTCCAGTAGTCATGTATGGATGTGAGAGTTGGACTATGAAGAAAACTGAGCACCAAAGAATTGATGCTTTTGTACTGTGGTGTTGGAGAAGACTCTTGAGAATCCCTTGTACTGCAAGGGGATCCAACCAGTCCATGCTAAAGGAAATCAGTCCTGAATATTCATTGGAAGGACTGAACCTGAAGCTGAAACTCCAGTACTTTAGCCACCTGATGCAAAGAACTGACTCATTGGAAAAATTGAAGGCAGGAGGAGAAGGGGACGAAGCTCACTGAACTGGACTGCCTACTGCGGGGGACAGATTCCCCAGTTTGCCTGAGATGTGCCCAAATATGTGCTGTGACAGGGAAAGAGAGTGACCAACCTCAGGGGCCAGAGAAAAAGCCCCCTACAACCCCAGATTCCTGGTGGACCAGAATCTCTGGAGTGGGCAGGGGAGACAGGATTCTATGTTTTTAATAACTGACTCCAGTCCATGTTGTTGTGAAGCAAATCCCAGACATCTTAAAAGTTAGTTCATTCGTGCCTATTTCAGTGTGAGCTCTCTAAAAGATATGAGTTCTTTTAAAAAATTGNTCCAGTGAGTCAGCTCTTTGCATCAAGTGGCCAAAATATTGGAGCTTTAGCTTCAGCATCAGTCCCTGGACAGAGGAACCATGGGGTACGGTCCATGGGGTCACAAAAAGTCAGACACAACTGAACAACTAACACTTTCACTCCACTGTACCCGAGCCGTAACTTAATACCCAGAGCTCTTTCCCACCACTAGCTGTGCAACAGGAGAGCAGACGGTTAAGAGCATCCTCACATGCCACGTTACTCTCAGAGTTTGGTTTCTCTTGAACCATCTCAAAGACTTTCAGGACTCAACCCCCAACCTCTTTTGATGTCCTCCTTTGTTTTAGACCCTCCCATCTACCCAGCCTGGCACCACATGGCAGTTGACATTAAAGGATGATGAAGAGAGTTGTTTTCCCCAGGACCATCTTCACATCAGTCTGACAATGCATACACAGGTCTTCCATTAGTGGATTCCCATTAGATCTCAAAAATTTGAGAGGCCCTTAGCAAACATGTTAAGAAGAATTTTTTATCAGCCCTGAAATATTTCAGCATGTATATTTCTGGCTGGTTTTAGAATCGGTTGATGTTTCTCAAACTTGAGAATTCAGACCAGCCAAGATTATTTCTAAAGATACCAGTTTGAGACACACTGGTCTGTGTATGGTTAAATGGTTCTATAGCCAGTAAACGTAGGTCATTATCACTGTGTTGGAATTTTGTGCCCGGACCCCTCAGAGAATCCAAGGTCTCCAGGGATCAAAGATTTAAAATCACTATCCTGGCTATTAACTTCATTAAGGATTAAAAAAAAACAAGCCCTGAAACATTGGAGTGTGTCAGTAGTTGTCAATGTCAGTGTCCAGAGCAAGCCCCTTGACTTCCAAATTCAGTGGCCCCCACCCCCATCCACAGCCCCTGTAAAGTCTGGCCAGACTTCTCCCTTACCCTCTCAGATTGGTCCCTCTTTCTCCCCACGTTATAGTATGTTGTGTAGTGAGCTTGATTGCTTAATTTATTAGGTTTTTACCCCACCTCATTCCAAGTTGAAAAGTAAAGCAACTTTAAGGCTTTCAAAGTCTTTTTTTTTTTTTTTCCTTTTCTTCTTTTCGCTGCACAGCAGGATCTTAGTTCCCTGACCAGGGATCGAACCATGTTCCCTGCAGTGGAAGTCCAGAGTCATAACCACTAGACCACCAGGGAATTCCCAAACTTTGCATTTCATGAGTTGAACCATGAAATACTGGTAATTGCCTACATTAATAATGGTCATTTTTTCTGACTTCAGGGAATTCTTTGGTTCCTAACTTTTTCTCCTAATAATGTTTCACTTTTTCCCACCTTACTTCCTTGCTGCTAGTGGGCTCTAGCTGGTGACAAAATAAATGAAGTTCTTGGTTGAATAACAACAGAAAAACTCAGAAGCCATCATGCTGAGTTTAACAGTTTCCTTTTATTACATATGGGTATAACTGTGAAGATATAGTCATTTTTTTTCCCTAGCAAAGTGTCATATTATTTCACAAAAAGCGACCAGTGACTTCACCTGAAGAAGCTTGGGAACCCCCTGCAAAAGCTCTAGCACTTCTTACATTGCATTGTGGTGAATTATTGCATCTGTCTTCCAAAAGAGAGTGAGTTCCTTACAATCAGGAACTGTGCCAGAAAGTCTGACACAGCCTTACAATTACAAAATTTAACAGTCCATAACAATACAATAGAAGACGTAAGATGAGAATACTTTATATCCTAGGTGACATAAACAGTTACTTTCCCTGAGTAAGTGGCTGTTTTATGGTGTAACTTGTTGATCATGACACTTATTGGGATATTGTTTGCTTAAATAAACACAGTAACTTACTTTTTGGCCTTGCTTTTACAGTCCTACAAAAATGCTAAGGGTATTTATATTTACCCTTGCATTTTATGTCATACTCATTTGACATTCCCAGTCCTTAACACAAGAACTGGCACATAGTAGATGCTGAGTGTTGGTTAAATACTTACTCTCTTCACCCACCGAGCAACATCATTAAATGTAGTAATTAAAGAAGTGGGTTTCCCCATACCCTAAGCTTTTTTTCAGGGTACAAAACAAAAGAAGGCAGGACTAAAGCAATTTACTGTCCTCCTTTTCTCCTTCCCTCCTCCTTTTAGGATTCTCTGATCCCACAATTCATGCTAATAAACTCATATAAGCTGTTCTTACCTGCTAAAGTAATTTATTCTGAAGATGGAATAATAGGGACTGGATTGACTTTCTTTCATAAAATTTAAATATTAGATAAAACATGATTATTAGACATTGACTATCAGGCAGCCCAGGCAGTGACTCATGAGAAAGAGAAAATGGATAAGATGAGTCCTGCAGCTTCCCCAGTGTCCTGTTTGGGGAGAGTCTCCAGGCCACGGCACTGGGAAAAGGAACCCAGATGGCATCTGGTAGTCTTCTTGAGTTGAGCTGATGTTGCTGGGATGTAAAAGTGGCTAAACTCGTGGGGGCAGAGCCAGGGAAGAGAGCCACACTGAGATAAATATAAAACCCTGGGGAGTGTCTCCCTTGACTCAAGCTGATACCCAGTCAGTTCATGCGTATAGGGAAACTACCCAAGTCCTGCGAGAGAACCAACCAAAGGATTAGAGCTCACACAGGGCAGAGAATAGTTTGTGTTTCCACTTGTAAGAGTGCGAAAATCTTTACAATTCTGCAATATCAAGTGAAGTACTCGGGTGGGTATTGGGCAAAACTGACCCTAGACTAAAGACTGACAAAGCTTAAAATCAGACCTCAAGAGACTCAAACTATTAAACTATTCCTACAAGCAACCTAATTGTGTCCTAGACAGAGTTCAAAAATACAAAAATATCCAGTACTCAATAATGTAAAGTTAGCAATGTCTGGAATCCAATCCAAAAGATTACTAGGCATACAAAGAAGAAGAAAAACACTACCCATTATAAGGACAAAAAAAAAAAATCAATCAGTAGAAACAGACCCAGAAATGATACAAATGATAGAATTAGTAGAGAGGGATATTAAAAAGTTGTCACTATTCTGCATAATTTCAAGAAGGTAGAAGAAAAACTGAACATACTAAAGACAAGGAAGATATTTTTTAAAAAATACCCAACTACTGGAGATGAAAGCTACAATGGTTGAAAATTTAAAAATACATTGGATAGGATTAATAAGTGATTAGACACTGCAGAAGGAAAGATTAGTGTGCTTGAAGACATAGCAATAGAAACTATCCTAAATAAAAACCAGAGATATAAAAGGACACTTAAAAAGTTTTGAAACGGCACCAATGAGCTGTGGAACCACTTAAAAACAGCATAATCATAGGTAATTGGAGTCCCTGAAGGAAGGGTAGGACATAGAGAATCTGAAGTAATAGCTGCAATTATTCAAGATCAGCTTACTTGCCTCCTGAGAAACCTGTATGCAGGTCAAGAAGAAGAAGTTAGAACCGGACATAGAAAAACAGACTGGTTCAAAATTGGGAAAATAGTGCTTCCAGGCTGTGTATTGTCACCCTGCTTTTTTAATTCATATGCAGAGTACATCATGTGAAATGCTGGGCTGGATGACTCACAGCTAGAATCAGGATTGCTGGGAGAAATATCAACAACCTCAAATATGCAAATGATACCATTCTAATGACAGAAAGCAAAGATGAACTAAAGAGCCTCTTGATGAAGGTGAGAGAGGAGAGTGAAAAAGCTGGCTTAAAACTCAACATTCAAAAAACTAAGATCATGGCATCCGGTCCCATTACTTCATGGCGAATAGATGGGGGAAAAGTGGAAACAATGGTAGATTTTCTTTTCTCGGGCTCCAAAATCACTGTGGATAGTGACTGAAACCATGAAATTAAAAGATACTTGAAGAAGAAGAAAAACTTCTTCTTAGAAGAAAAACTATGACAAACCTAGACAACCTATTAAAAATCAGAGACAGCGCTTTGCCGACAAGGGTTCGTTACAGTCAAAGCCATGATTTTTCCAGTAACGTATGGATGTGAGAGTTGGATCATAAGAATGTTGAACACCAAAGAATTGACACTTTCAAACTGTGGTGCTGGAGAAGACCCTTGAGAGTCCCTTGGACAGCAAGGAGATCAAATCAGTCGATCCTGAAGGAAGTCAACCCTGAATATTCGTTGGGAGGACTGATGCTGAAGCTCCAATATTTTGGCCACCTGATGGGAAGAGCTGATTCATTGAAAAAGACCCTGCTGCTGGGGGAAATTGAGGGCAGGAAGAGAAGGGGGCGAAAGAGCATGAGATGGCTGGGTGGCATCACTAGCTCAATGGACATGAGTTTGAGCAAGCTCTGGGAGAAAGTGAAGAACAGGGAAGCCTGATGTGCTGCAGTCCACAAGGTCACAAAGAGTCTGCCACCACTTAGCAACTGGACAACAAACAACAACAATGGCTGCAATTATTCTAAATTGGAGGAAGATTATAAACTTACAGATCATGGAAATTTAATGAATCCCAAGCACAAGAAGCATGAAGAAAATATTGCCAAGGCACATCATAATCAAAGGGCTTAAAACCAGTGATAAGGAGAAAAATCTTTGTATTGGGGGTGGAGGATGAGGGTGGGGAGGGGAGACCTGTTATGTACAAAAGGACAAAAGTAAGAACCACAGCAGAATTCTGTTTAGAAACAGGGCAAGCAAGAAACAGTATAGCAGTGTCTTTGAAGAACCAAAAGAAAACAGGCTCATTGAAGAGGAGTCTGAGCAAACTCCAGGAGAGAGTGACAGACGGGTAGCCTGGAATGCTGCCGTCCGTGGTGTGGCAAAGCATTGGACACGACCTAGTGGCTGAATGACAGAACTATATATATCCAGTGAAATACATTTCAAAAATTCAGGCAAAATAAACATTTAAAGACATATGAAAGAATTCATCACAGATCTATACTTCAGAATATTAAAGGAAATCCTTCAGGAGGGGGGAAATGATACCAGATGAAAATCTGAATCAGTCAAAGGATTGAACAGCACTGGAACTGGTAGATATATGGGTAAAAATAAGTGACTGCAGCTCGGTATACCTTCAGAGATCACCTGAGAAGACTACCCATTCCGTAGCTCAGGACTGCTTAAATAAAGTTTCCTACTGATCCCTGTGCTAGCTCAGCACCTTTTAAAGGCAAATTTGTGAATGATTGGGAAATTATGACAAATACTGATACTATACCAAATCAACGCAAATAAAGCAAATGTCAGTAATTTTTTTTGTATGTTGGTAAGATAACTTGTTTTATTGATTCTTGGTGATCTTTTAAAGTTTTAGCTTACTAGTCATCATTTTCACTAGATAATGTTTTTGGAAGAAGAGAAAACAGAAAAGCATATAAGGGAGAGAAGAGAATCATTTGTGATAGCAGCCACATACAAGATTTCATTTTGCGAGTTATTTGAAATCCTGTGTTATGACTTTTAACGTTTTCTTCTGCTCCTAGGTTATAATGTCTTAAATCAGTAGAATTGATTTGCTTAGCTAGCTTTCCTGAAATTTGTTCTTGAAACCAACACATTTCTTGATATAAGAGCTCAGATCTTTTTCCTCCTGTGTAAATATATATATATATATAGCCTACCATCTTCCTTTTTATCTCTGGCTTGACAGTCTTTAAAATCTTTCTGTGATCTTAATGAATATCAAACTGTCTGTAAGATATTTCTTCTGAGATAGCTAATGTGGGTTATTCTTGAGGCCACTGAACTGCTTGAAAATTTTCCAAGTATTTGATGTCCAGTATGTTTATGTAGAGTGAGCCTGACTTGAGCTTCTTGTGTTTCATGGATCACCCCATCCTCTTTGTTTTATTAATTGTATTGGGGTGGGGGCCACTGCTCAGCTTGTTGGATCTTAGTTCCCTAACCTGGAATCAAACCCTGGCCCCAAACAGGGAAAGCCCAAAATCCAGCCACCCAGTTTCCCTCCCAGAAGCAGCTGGTATTGCTGGTTATTGTGCCTTATTTCAGGGTCTGGATATGTATACACACATTTTTATATATTTTCCCTCTACCCAACACTTGTAGTATCAATTATATTCACCCACACAATGGAGTGTTACACAGCCATTGAAAATAATGAGGCAGATGTATACGAACTGACTTGGAAAGGTATATGATCAAAGGCACAAGAAAGGTGTATACCTCTTTCATTTCATTTTTTTTAATGCTTTAAATATAATTTCAGTACCATAAGATTCACCCTTTAAAGTGTACAGTTTTCAGTGATTTGATTCCACAACATTTCCATCACCTTAAGAAATCCCATACTCCTCCCATCTAGGTTTTTACAGTCTGTTGTTAAAAACCAATCACGCTGCAGTGGATAAGTCTTTTTTTTTTTTTTTTGGCTGTGTTGTGGGCGTGTTGGATGTTAGTTCCCCAATCAGGGTCAAACTCACGCCCCTAACCGCTAGGGAAGTCCCCTGCACCGGATGGTCTTATACACATACCATTTCACACTTGTGCAAGAATATTTGTAGGACAAGCACATGCTAGGTGACATGATTCGTGCATTTAAAAATTTTAAAGTAGTTGCCCTCTCCAGAGTTTATGCTCTCACTAAGTCAAGTCAAGTTGCTCAGTCGTGTCTGACTCTTTGCTGACTCTACTGCATGGACTGTAGCCTACCAGGCTCCTCTGTCCATGGGATTTTCCAGGCAAGAGTACTGGAGTGGGTTGCCATATGCTCTCACTACCAGGGTGTAAAAGTCCCTCTTTTCCATTTCCTGACTAGCATAGTCCTTAACCAAACTTTATCTTTGCCAATCTGACAAATAATCTTATCTCATTGTAATTTTCATTTGCATTCTCTTATCCTAAGTGAGGGTGATTACTTTTACATGTTTAGGGGTTACTTGTCTTTCCTTTTTTTTGGACTGATTTTTCATACCCTTTGATTTTATACAGGGTAGCTGACCTTTTTAAAAATATGAGCTCTTTATGTATTAGGGAGAAAAGCTGCTTGTGATATGAACTTAACGTGTTTTCCCCACTTTTTGTTTTTTAGTCTTTATTCATTTTTTTTCTTTTATCATGCAGAATTTTTAAAAAAATTTTGTCATCAAATTTGGCAGACTTCTGCGTCTTGTAACATACTTAGCCTTTTCCTACTCCAAGATTATAAAACAAAATTCTCCCATATGTTTTTCTTAAACTGTAAGTCTCTTCTCATCCCTCACCTGCCCCACCACGTTTAACTCTTAGATCCATCTGGAATTTATTTTTGTGTAAGATAGGAGGTATGGCTCCACCTTCTTTTCTCTAGAGGGCTAACGTTTTCTCCCACTGATTTGAAATGTCACTTTTACATTGTCCTCTTGATTAAGAACAGTGTGAGCAATTTTAAATATTCGCTTTCACTCTTTAGGAGTGGTAGTCAGGGATTTCCCTGGTGGTCCGTGCTTAAAACGTTGCACTTCTAATGCATGGGGCGCTGATTCAATCTTGGATCAGGGAACCAAGAGCCCACATGTGGTCAGGAAATAAAAATAAATTAATTTTTTTTAAAAAAAGTAGTAGTCAGGTGTTTGGGCAGTGCCTTCTGATCTCTTGGGGCACCTATAAGAACTGCAGTCCCCTTCTCTCCCTGCCAGATCCTACTACTGCAAACTGCTATCACCCAGGGGATGTGTCTTACTCTAGTGTGTGAAACCAAGAAGTAGTTTGTAACCTCTGATCTAGGGACTTCCTCTTGGAAGAGGGGCGGCCAGAGGCCCATCTCCTGAATCCAGAGTCATTACTTTAATGAGGGCTTCAACAAGAGCCCAGAAGTAATGGGGGAATCTTTCCAAAGAAAACTCAGCTCTTCACTTTGGAGTCATCAGTTTCTATCCTCAGGTTGTCTTTCTGTTTTAGAATCCTAGTCAATTTCTACACAGTCGTTCTGGTAGATTTATCTGATGGGGCCATCTGTCCTCCTGGGGAAAAAAATACTGGCTTGGGCTGTGTTGTGACTGTGTTCTGACACCATGTAGAACTGGGTGTGCAGAGGTAAGAGTCACCTCTTCTAATCTGAAAGTGCTTAGTCAGAAAAGAGTGTGGCCCTTTAAAAGGTAGAATTCTCAGAGTCGCTCTGACTATAAAGGCTCGTGGCATTCTACCGAAGGGGCGCTGGAGGAGAAGGTCTGTCTGGCAGGACTGATGCCACGAGTAGGGTGGATGTCGCCAACAAGTGTTCTGTCGGGTGTCTGGGCAGCCCACTTGGTAGGGGAGGGTGTGCAGTGGCCTTTAACTTCATCCCTCTTGTACAGTTGTTCTTTTACTGGGTCTGCTCAGGAAGTAGCTTGTCCCCGAGCTGTGGGGTAGCAGAGGCTGTCTGTGCTTGAAAGTCTTGGTGGCGGTGACACTTGGGAGGAGCCACTGGCGCTGCCTTCCTCTCGGGGTGTGTGTTACCCTGGGGCGTCTCGTGCGCTGGAGGAGCTGGTACAGGTGTTAGGGGAACCAGGGAGAGGCGTGAAAGGGTTCTGCCCTGATGCAAGCTGTTTTTCACATACATTTAGTTCATTCTGAAAACTGTTAGACACTTAAAAAAATGAATTTATAGAGGGTACAGTGGAGCTCCATTTAAATAGTCATGTTGAAGTAAAGAAATAATATGCATTTTATAGGCTTAATTATACATCATAATTAGCTAATGTAGTCCATGTGATTGTGATGTCTGGGAGACCAGCCCAGGGAACAGTAATGAGCAACAGCTAATGTGGTTCCACATGTTAAATGCCAGGATTTAAGGGCGGACCTTCACACAAGTTTCTACCATGTCTACTTGATGGTAGTTTTCCAGCTTCTCCTTCCTGTCCCTTCTCACCCCTCAAAAGCCGTGTGAGTAAAGTCATCCTAGCATGCCCCTGGGCGACTCAACATCTGAGTCCTAGACACAGATTTCACTTGGCCCGTGCGCCTCCCACAGTTGTGGCCATGGCTGTTAGCGTTGGATAAGCTGTCCGCACTGACCTCCTCCTGTCTCCCATCAGCTCTCCTCTCCACCAGTGATCCACTCAGAGGGATAATCCACCAGCAGCTGAACCCTGTCACCCACCAACGGGGAGGTCCCACATGGGGGGATACTTACCCCTTCCAGACCCTTCCTGAGGAAAGTAAGTTTCCTTCCATGTGGCAGGAGTAATTTTTATATTTGTTTGGCCTTGTGACCGATGGGATGGGAAGTGGAGAGGAGGTGGCAGTTTTAACCGAGAAAAAAAAACCTTAGTAGAAACTCTGCCTTCTTCGGGCGTGTCCCTCTTCTGGGCATCTCTTCAGGATTTCATTCCTCCGTCCAACTGCCGTTCACAACTGCCCTTTCCAACGGCTCCAGAACTCTTGGCCTTGGCATTCCGTGATGTAAATTATTCCACGCATGGCTCGAAATGGGTGCGAAGCAATGTTGCCAGGTGTCGGATCACTAGTGTAAGTTTCCTGGATCTCGGGGGAGGGAGGAGAAAGAAAAGGGGGAGAACCGCTCTTGGAATTTGTACAGTTGTTATTGTTTCAGCCAGAACACAGCGATTGTGCTGGCTGAGCTGGATGCTCTCGATGGCTGGGGAGAGAGGGAGCTCTGGGCTTAGAGCTGGGGTGAACTGGGAGTTGAGAGTTTCTACTTTAAAGATTCTAGTGTTAGGATGTACACTGTTTACAACTGAACAGTTGGCATTGCTGCTGCGGAGGGAGGAACTTGGGACCTTCAGTGCAAAGCCTGTCACAGTACTGCCTGGGGCAGTGGTGCCTCTTCTGTCTCCAAAAGTAGGGAGAATTGACTTTTCTGTTTTCCTAAAGATAGCGAAAATATGGCTAGAAATCCGGATTGCTCACCAGGTTTGGAAACATCTAGTCACAAAATTCAAAGACCTCTGTATGCACGGGATTTTTTTAAAAACAAAACTGTGATTGCTCCTCTTGTTCACTATACTTTTTGAGGAAGTTACTGTTCCTGGTTTACTGGCCCTTTGGGGAATTGCATGTGAAGGGTTGCTGCCAACCCCCTTAGATTTGTCTGGATTCCTTTTTGACTTGTAAGTTAAGAATTTGTGTTCAATAAAAACAATTTAAATTGAATACTTGATCTCTTGAATGACCACAAAAATTTAAAAATCACATTCATAATAAGTAACTAGAGAGAAGTGCACATGAATTACAGTTATTTCTCTCGGAAAGTATAAGGTGTATTTTTGTGTTGCGTTGATGCTGGTGGCTTTAATCTGCTCTGCTGAAACAGTGCTTTCTTATTCCTTCTCTTTATAGTTGTCATGGATGATGATGACGACTCGTGTCTCCTTGATCTTATTGGGTAAGACTCTCATTCCAGGATTGGGGTGAATTGAGTGTGTGAGGTCTGCTGTACTGAAACAACCTAATAAGCACATTGAAACCAAGTGGGGGGTTTTAAAATAAAAATTAAATAATCATCAGAGGTATAGTAGATATATATATAGGTATAGTAGGAAAGTATAATATACCTACCTATAGGTATATATAGGTATAGTAGGAAGATAGAGTGACATGGATTAACATAGGAGTCATCATTAGGTAATCCTTTATTAAATTCATTTTCTAAGAAATCCCAGGAGGCTGAAATGAGTGATAGTAAGAAATGAAATGACAGCAAAACAAAACAGACAAAAACTACTAATAGTTTTAAAACAAGGAGAGGATTTTACTTGAGCTAATATGTCCTTTTCTTTTTACCCTCATAAAAATGAACTCTAAATATAAGTAATGTATTTATTTGCTGTTGTCTCTGTTTGGTGGTTGTTTTCTAGAGACCCACAAGCATTGAACTATTTTCTACATGGACCTAGTAATAAATCGGTGAGTAAGACTCAGGCTGTCACAGTCATACATTTTGTTTCTTCTTTTACAGTCTAAGTGATCATTTTTTTGAATTTGTACCTTTGCAGAGCAATGAGGACTTGACTAATGCAGGATATTCTGCAGCCAATTCAAATTCGATTTTCGCCAACTCTAGTGTGAGTATTGGAAACTGCAATGATCAGGTGTTTCTGTCTCATTGATGCCTGATGACTGGAAGCTATAATTGCTTTTGAATCATTATGGGAATCCTCACTTCATCTTTTACAGTTGCCACAAGAGGAAAATCTATTGAATTATGTTGACAGTTTTTACTTTTAACTTAGCCTATTAAGATTTTTACTTTACTATTTTCCTAAGCTTTCAATTTTCTTTCTAAAATGCCACGGACACATAACCTGAGAAACTTAGAGTCTTTTGAACACTGTTACATAAGCTTTAAGAAAAAATCCTTCTGAATTATGGTTATGTTCTCATCCTTTTCATCTTAAACGAGGAAAAAGATCATAGTAACTAATAACTATTAAGCACTCAGTATGTTCTTGGCACTAAGAGCTTAACAAATATCAACCTCACTAACCCTTAAAATAATTCCGTGAAGAATATAGCAGGTTCTATTAGTATCCATATTTGAAGATGAGGGAACTGAAGATTGGTACTTACCGAGTATTACACACAGCCAGGAGTTGCAGAGCTTGGAATTGAACCCAGGCCACCAGGTTCCAGGGTGCAGGTCCTTAAACTCTAGGAGCATCTAGACAAGAAATCTGACCTTCAGGACAGGGGAGTCCTGCCTGGAGATGTATCCAGATGGCTGTGTTTAAGCCCATGTTACTTTAATCTTTTAGCTGCTTTGTTCTCCACAGATGATAGTCTAGAGTCCCAAGTTTGAATCCTTGCTCTGCCACTTTCTAGCTCTGTAACCTTGCTTATATCACTAAATTTCCATGAGGCTCAGGTTCTTTATTTGTAAATCCAGGAGAATGATAGATCTACCTCATAGGCTGGTTAAGATGAATGGAACTAGTCCATGGGCACACTGTTCAGTTAATGTCAACTTATCATCATCATCAGGGTCTTTATTTTCTTCATCCATAATATGGAGTACCATTGGAGTAGCATTTAGAAAGTTCTTGGAAATGTACAATTCTTTAACGTATTTGAGTGTATACAAAGTATGTCAGATCATAACATGTAAGACTCCTCCACATGCTAGGGATGGCTTTAAAGTCACAACACTATCTCCTGTAAGGCTTGTGAATCAGTAGCAATTCTGAAATTCATTCTGAGTGGGCAATAACTGCATGCAAGCCTATAACCCATAAAGGAGATATTTAGCCTGTTTCCCAACACTAATGATTTTTACTCACCAGCTCTCCCACTTCCATGTGAGTATTAATTCTAACTCTTCAGGCTGCTTCATTCAGGGTGTATTTTTGGGGAACTTGGATTATGTCATGGCAGTAGAAATATTTTAAAAGCTTTGAAAAATATGAAATTTCAAACCCATGGTCTGTTAATTTGTGCACTGTGAAAACATCACCACTCTGGAGATAATCCACTGTTGCCTTGACCTTTCTCTGCAGAAATAAGCAAACAAACCTCCTTGGTTTCAGTGGCTTTTCCCCACTTCCTTTCAAATGACTTCAAGTTCTAACTAGGTGTCCGGTGAACTAGTCTTGCTTTTCTACCTGTTTCTTCCCGTCTTCTAGCTCCCAGAACACCATACCTTACTAACCCATGGCTGAGAATTTCTAGGGTTTTGAAAGCTGGACTGTTCATTCTTCTTCTTCTTTTTTTTTTTTTTTTCAGTCACACTGTGTGACTTGCAGGATCTTAGTTCCCCAATCAGGGATTGAACCCAGGTCCTGGCAGTGAAAATACCAAGTCCTAACTGCTGGACCACCAAGGAATCCCTGGATTGTTTATTCTTGACTGATCCATTTTTAAATGTTTTTCTTCACCTTTTAACATTTTTAATTATGTTACAATATATATAACAACAAGTTTACCATCCTAACCATTTTTAAGAATACAATTTGGTAGTGTTAAGTATATTTACATTGCCTTCACCTTGTGTTAAATAACTATTGATTTCATTTTTCTTTCTTTTATAATCTTGTCGTATCCCATGATAAACTTCTGACCCAGTGGAGTGTCTCTGATTTATCAGTAACTGTGTTCAGTTCTCTATATATGCCTGTTTTGTTGTCTCTAATTGGAATGCCCAGACCTTAAGGACTCATTACGGACAGACACTAATGCACAAGTGAGCACTTGACAAGTGGTGACCAACTTTTACTCTTGAATAGGACACTGATATAGTTTTTAAAGCATCATAGTGAGCTGATTACTTCTAAGAAATCAAATGCCCATTCACTCATTTCACATCAGAATCTTCTTTTCATCCAGACTGATTTTTCCTGGACTGGGACAGGTTAGCACTAGGGGAGTTCTGAGAAACCTTGAAAGTCAAGGCTGAATCTGGGATACCTTCGGGACACCTAGTAGAACCACACTCAGAACTCCCAAAATTCATGTCTCATCCCGTGGTACAAAGAACTAGACACTGCTGTCTCCTGGATACACACATACCCTTGGCTGAGTCCCATTCAAGCTTTGGAACTGGGAAGCAACCCGAAAAAAAAAAGCCCAAGCCAACAACCCAAAAAAAAAAACCAACCAAGGAACCAAGAAGAAGGTTGCAATAATGAACCGGTCCCCAAAAAAAAAATTAACAAAACAAAGAAAGCCTAAAACTAACAAAAAAAAAACCCAAAAAACAAACTTAAACATCATTACTAAGGGAATCAAGTATCAGAATAAGATGAGCAGTTTGGAGAGTTGAGTCTAAAAAGCAGACTGTTATGCTTTATTCATATTCAAAAGTGAGATTCGTTTTTTGTTTAAGAATCTTTCAGAGGTGAGATATGCTGTGTAACCTCCCGCTTATTTTTTTAGAATGCTGATCCTAAGTCAGCCCTCAAAGCTGTAAGCAGCCAGCTTGGAGAAGGGCCCAGTGATGGACTGCCACTTTCAAGTAGCCTTCAGTTTCTCGAAGATGAACTTGAGTCTTCTCCTCTTCCTGATCTCAGTGAGGACCAACCTTTCGACATTCTTCAGAAATCCTTGCAGGAGGCCAATATCACTGAACAGACATTGGCAGAAGAGGCATATCTGGACGCCAGTATAGGTTCGAGCCAACAGTTTGCACAAGCTCAGCTTCATCCCTCTTCATCAGCATCCTTTACTCAGGCTTCTAATGTTTCTAATTACTCAGGTCAGACACTGCAGCCTATAGGGGTGACTCATGTGCCTGTTGGCACATCGTTTGCAAGCAATACGGTGGGTGTGCACCATGGCTTTATGCACCACGTGGGGATCAGTGTGCCCAGCCAGCATTTGTCTAATAGCAGTCAGATTAGTGGTTCTGGTCAAATACAGTTAATTGGGTCATTTGGTAATCAACCTTCCATGATGACTATTAATAACCTAGATGGATCACAAATAATACTAAAGGGTAGTGGGCAGCAAGCCCCCTCAAATGTGAGTGGAGGGCTTCTCGTTCACAGACAGACTCCTAATGGCAACTCCTTGTTTGGGAACTCCAGTTCCAGCCCAGTAGCACAGCCTGTTACTGTTCCGTTTAACAGCACAAATTTCCAAACATCTTTACCTGTGCATAACATCATCATACAAAGGGGTCTTGCACCAAATTCAAATAAAGTCCCAGTTAATATCCAGCCAAAGCCTATCCAGATGGGTCAGCAAAACACATACAATGTGAACAACTTGGGAATACAACAGCACCATGTTCAGCAAGGGATCTCGTTTGCCTCTGCAAGCTCACCCCAGGGCTCAGTGGTTGGTCCGCACATGTCCGTGAACATCGTAAACCAACAGAACACAAGGAAGCCCGTCACCTCGCAGGCTGTGAGCAGCGCCGGGGGCAGTATCGTTATTCATTCTCCCATGGGCCAGCCTCACACACCCCAGAGTCAGTTCCTCATACCTACAAGCCTTTCTGTCAGTTCCAACTCGGTACACCACGTCCAGACCATCAATGGGCAGCTTCTTCAGACTCAGCCCTCTCAGCTCATTTCCGGCCAGGTGGCCTCAGAGCATGTCATGTTGAACAGAAACTCTTCCAACATGCTCAGGACCAATCAACCATATTCTGGACAGATGCTGAACAACCAGAGTGCCGCCGTCCAGTTAGTGTCTGGGCAGACATTCGCCACCTCCGGAAGCCCGGTGATTGTCAACCACGCCTCTCCTCAGATCGTCGGCGGACAGGTGCCTTTGCAGCAGGCATCACCCACCGTCTTGCACCTGTCCCCTGGGCAGAGCAGCGTCTCCCAAGGAAGACCTGGCTTCACCACCATGCCCTCGGTGACAAGCATGGCAGGACCTAGTCGGTTCCCTGTTGTCAGTTCGTCCAGCACTGCCCATCCTAGTCTTGGGTCTGCGGTTCAGTCTGGTGCATCAGGATCAAACTTTACGGGAGATCAGCTGACCCAGCCCAACAGGACTCCAGGACCGGTCAGCGTGTCCCATCGTCTTCCAGTTCCTTCTTCCAAGTCTACCAGCACCTTCAGTAACACACCTGGAGTAGGAAGCCAGCAACAGTTCTTCTGTCAGGTAACGTTCCCTTTATCAAACAAATGCTTGGGTGATTACGCAATGGAAGAATGGAATATGTATTTGTAAGAATATAATTTTCATCCTAGGTTCCCAATTTATTATCTTAAGATGTTCAACTTATGATTGATTGCCTCTTTTCTTCTTAGTTAAAATGTTCTATCCTGCATAGCATTGTGGTTTAGGGTGGAGACTTCATGGATTTCAATCTAGGCTGTATGACTGGGAACAAGTCTTACCTTAACTAACCTCTCTAGACTTAAGTTTTTCCATCAGTATAATGTAGTCTGTATTAATAATACTACCATCCCACACAGTTATTGAGAAAGTTAAGTGAAATAATCTGTATAAAGTGCTTAGCATGGTCCCTGGCAAGTGGCAAACACTCAGCTCAGATGTGCTTAGCTCATCATGTCCAACTCTTTGCAACCCAGACTGTTAGCCGGCCTCTGTCCATGGGATTTTTCAAGCCAGAATACTGGAGTGGGTTGTCATTTTCCTCCTCCAGGGGATCAAAGAGCCAATATTAATACATATACTTGGTGGAATGTGTTATAGGCATTTAAAAGGAAAGATTATTTCAGATTATTTACTTACATCATGGTGGCTCAGACAGTAAAGAATCTTCCTGCAGTGTGGGAGACCTGGGTTCAATCCCTGGGTTGGGAAGATCCACTGGAGAAGGGAATGGTAACCCACTCCAGTATTCTTGCCTGGAGAATTCTATGGGCAGAGGAGCCTGTCAGGTTACAGTCCATGGGGTCGCAAAGAGTCAGACAGGAATGAGTGACTAACACTTTGGCTTCCCTCTCACTTGCATCATATAGAAGCCACGGGGTCCTATGGCTATGGACTGGGTAGAGAAGTCGTGGCTGTTTCTTGGATGCCAACTGGAAAGGCCCAGGTACCCGCTGAGACTCAGCAGTGGGTAACTGGCCTGCACAGAGGGATGGGTACAGGGGGAAGGATACAGGGCAGTGGATTGGACCAAGTACTTGCGCCTGTTCTTACCAGGCTGCAGTGCAGGTGAATGACCAGGCAGTCAGTTACCCCATGTGAAGATGATGTTCCTGAAAAGCATTTCAAATATCTGTCAGCTGTGGTCCCTCACCCCATCAGCCAGTCCTTGAACTCCTGTGGCTTTTGGCTCTTGCTCACTCTGAGAATGTTCTGCAGCTCCAGTTCCATACCCCACCTTCCTGCTGTGGTCTGCCCTCTCAACACCTCCATTTTCCCTGCCTTTCTTCTCCACACTTAGAAGAACTCAAAAACTTCTCTCTACCACGTAGGTCAATATTTTTTAAATTGTATACCTTTGACTTAGTAATTCCATTAAGAATCCTAAGGAAACAGGTTATTTATGATTAAGGATGTTCAGTGTACACTTTTGGTATCAAAACTGTTTGTTTGTGTGTTTTGTTTGTTAAATTTTATTTATATTTATTTGGCTGCCCCACATCTTAATTGTGGCATGCCAGATCTTCGATCTTAGTTGTGACATGTGGGGTCTAGTTCCCTGAACAAGGATCACACCCAGGACCCCTGCATTGGGAGCGAGGAATATTAGCCACTGAACCACCAGGGAAGTTCCTCTGTGTATTTTGAAATAATAGACTTATAGACTTAGAGAAAAATGAAAGTTGTGAAAATAATGTAAAGAATTCTCGTGTACCCTTCACCAAAATTCTCCAAATGTTAACTTTTTGCCCCATTTGTTTTATTCTTCTCTCTCTCTCTGTTTCACACAAACACATACACAAACACCCACACAGAGTTTTGACTGAAGGGTAAATTGCAGGCATGATGCCTCTTGACCCCAACATACTTCAGTCTTAACATGTTTATTTCTTGAAGTCAGGGGCATTCCCCTACATAACCACAGTACTGTTATCAAAACCGAGAAGTCAGCATTACTACAATATTACTATCAAATCTACAGACTTTATTCTGTGTAGTTCATTTTCTCAATAATGTCCCTTATGGCAAGAGAGAATAAAATTTGTTTTGTTTTGTTTTTATGGTCCAGGATCCAACCTAGGATCACTGCCTAATTCTGTTGTCATGTCTTTAAATCTGAAACAGTTTCTTCATCTTTTATGACCTCGACTTTTTGAAGAGTACAAGACAGTTATTTTATTGAGTGTCCCTCAATTTGAGTTTCTCTAATGTTTCCTCATGATGAAATTCAGGTTATACATTTTTGGTGGCCTTCCCTGGTGGCTTAACAGTAAAGAATCTGCCTACCAATGCAGTAGATGTGGGTTTGATCCCTGGTTCAGGAAGATCCCCTGGAGAAGGAAACAGCAACCCACTCTGGTATACTTGCCTGGGAAATCCCATGGACAGAGGAGGCTGGTGGGTTATAGTATGTGGGATCGCAAAGAGTCAGACTCAACTGAACAACTAAACAGCAACACAGTTTTGATAGGATTCCACAGAAGTGGTGTATATGTCCTCATGGTGTGGACTTGTCCCATTCCTGGTGATGTTAACGTTGAGCACTTGCTTAAGATGGGATCTGCTTCATGTGGTGTCTGATGTATCATTAATAAGCTTCTTTGGGGAGCTACATTGAGATTATGTAGATATCGTTTCTTGTCAAACTTGAACAAACTAGTTTAAGCTTTCATTGATAATTCCCGACTGAATCAGTTATTACTCAGTCAGCTGTTACTGTGATGGTCACCACATAGAGACTTTCTAATTCCATCAAGTTTATTCTACCTTAATTGTTAGCATTCTGCTCTAAGGAAGAACTTTCCTGTTTCTCCCTTTTACTTCTATCAGTATAGACTCATAGATTCTCATTTAATGAGTTAAAAATTGTTGCAATAAAAAAAAATTGTTGCAATCATTTATTTTGATGCTCAAATTGATTTTTTAAATTATTTTTTAACATGAAACTTGAGATCATATGCTCTTTTTTTTTTCCACTTTGATGCTTCGGTTTCTTTGGGTTTACATGTTTATTTAATTTTTTGGTTGCATGGCATGTGGGATCTTAGTTCCCTGACCAGGGGTTAAACCCACATCGCCTGCTTTGGCAGCGCAGAGTCCTAACTACTGGACCACCAGGGAACTTCCACTCAAGTTGATTTGATGGCCATTGAGCGCCCCTCCAAATTGGCTGCTGGTCCCTCTGACATGTTTACATTTTGCTTTGAGCACTGCCTTTTAATTTCTGGGAAAACATGATGTTCCATGTTTGCCTTTCACTTTCCTGCCCCTGCCTTGGAATTCAACCATTCAACAAAGGCCTTGTTCCTTCTAGTGGAGAACAGTACTTAGAAGCCAAGATCTGAGCACTACATATTCATTGCTACTGACATTGTCTCAACTGGGACTTATGTGTATTTACACATACACAACATCTGTAGCTATCTATTATCTGTTTATCTATATATCTATATTTAAAACAGTAGGTTCATATTGTTACTTCAATTCTAATCCAGGACCACCAGATTCGTTATTCAAGTCTCCTTTTCCATATTTATCACTCCCTTTTCTAATAGTGAAAAAGCCTGCCCCATAATATATTTATTTGCCCAATCCTAGAATACATAGAAAATAGTTTTTAGAATCACTAATGCATGGGCTTCCCTGGTGGCTCAGAGGGTAAAGCATCTGCCTGCAATGCAGAAGACCTGGGTTTGATCCCTGGGTTGGGAAGATCCCCTGGAGAAATGGCAACCCACTCCAGTATTCTTGCCTGGAGAATCCCATGGACAGAGGAGCCTGGTAGGCTAGACTCCATGGGGTCACAGAGTCAGACATGACTCCACTGTTTAAAACAAACCTACTTCAGATTTGATTGCTGACTTACAGCTCCTTCTTTACCCTAAAGGTATATAGTCAAAACACTGTTTAAAAGTTACTAGGGTTAGTACTTACTTTTCCTTCGTTGGTGTGGCTGTGCTATTCTTTTGAACTATGCTTTTGCTTATTTGTTTCTGTTTGTATTTTGTTTTAGAGTTCTTTCCTGCTACTTTTGTTGATTTTATCTATTTAATTTCTTTTGAGCGAGTGAACCATTGGCGCAGTCCCACACGTCAGGGCTGGCAGAGTGTGTGGGGCAGTCTCCCTCCTCGCTGGCCCCTCTCCTGCTCACAACCCCTCCATCCTTTCCTGCCAGTTCCCCTCCATCACCTCTATTTGCCAGTCTCAGTAGTCTCTCCTTTATTTATCATCTGTTTGTTTTCACACAAGTAAGCAGATACATGTGTATTTTCTCATTTCCCCTCTTTTCTTACTCAAATATAGTATACTATAGATATTCTTCTATACTTCAGTTGCAAAAAAGTTTTCTAAACCCAATATAGTAATTCTCCTACTATAGGATTTATATATATATAAATTACTGAATATACTGAAGTATTATATAACTGTTTAAAATGTTTTTGAAAAATAATTAAAGATTTGAGGGAAGGCTTATAAAATCATTTTGGGCTTCCCTGGTGGCTCAGCTGGTAAAGAATCTGCCTGCAATGCGAGAGAACTGGGTTCAATCCCAGGGTTGGGAAGATCCCTGGAGAAGGGAAAGGCTACCCACTCCTGGATTCTGGCCTGGAGAATTCCATGGACTCTGTAGTTCATGGGGTCACAAAGAGTCAGACCTGACTGAGCAACTTTCACTTATAAAATCATTTTAAGTGCACATTTAAACATGAAATATTTAAAATGTACATTTAACTGCAAAATTGTTAATAAGCAATTTACTTTCTCTTTTAGAAAAATGATGAAAGACAATATGGTGAACTAGAAAATAGAAAACCCTCTTGCTTACCAAACACTCAGAAACTTGATTAAAAGGAAATGTACTACTCCATTAACAGCAGTTCCTTGGATGGTGGAATTACAGATACTCTGTTTTCTTCTAATTTAAAAAATTTACCCACATAGAGGAGGTGATACCTGGAAAGCATTTATCAACATATTGATGCATTTTTTTAAAAAGTAAAACTTCCCATTGGTAACAATTAGAAACAGTTCCAAAATAGCTT